GGTGCCTGGCTGGCTCAATTAATAGAGCATGTAACTCTTGATTTCAGAGTTGTGAGTTCAAGCCCCATATAGGGGCATAGAGCTTACTTAAAAAAAAAAAAAAAAGACAGTTTTACTTCTTCCCTTCTAATATATATTCTGTTTGTTTGTTTGTTTGTTTTCTTTCTGCATGATTGTACTGCCTAGAACCTCCAATAGAAGTGGACATCTTTGTTTTGCTTCCAGTCTTAAGGGAAGCTTTCAGTCTTTCACCAATAAGTATGCCAATTGTAGGTTTTTCATAGACGCTTTTTATCTGATTGAGTAAATTTTCTTATATCCCTAGGTTGTTGAGGTTTTTTTTTTAATTTATTTTTTTAACGTTTATTTATTTTTGAGAGAGAGAGAGAGAGACAGAGTGTGAGTGGGGGAGGGGCAGAGAGAGAGGGAGACACAGAATCTGAAGCAGGCTCCAGGCTCTGCGCTGTCAAGCACAGAGCCTGATGCAGGACTTCAACTCATGAAACATGAGATCATGACCTGAGCCAAAGTCGGATGCTTAACCAGCTGAGCCACCCAGGCACCCCAAGTTTTTTTTTTTTTTTAATCACAAATAGGTATTTAATTTTGTCAAATGCCTTTTCTGTATCTATTAAGATGATTGTGTAATTTTTGTCTTTTATTTTAGTAAAATGGTATATCATGTCAATTGATTTTCAGACATTAAATCAACTTTCTATTTTTGGGATAAATCCCACTTGGTCATGCTGTGTAGTCATTTTAAGATGTTGTTGGATTTGGGGGGCGCCTGAGTGGTTCACTTGTTTGAGCATCCAACTTCAGCTCAGGTCATGATCTCACAGTTTGTGGGTTCACGCCCCGCGTCGGACTCTGTGCTGACAGCTTAGAGCCTGGAGCCTGCTTCGGATTCTGTGTCTCCCTCTCTCTTTGCCCCAACCCCGCTCGCACTCTGTCTCTCTCTAAAAATAAATAAACAGGGGCGCCTGGGTGGCGCAGTCGGTTAAGCATCCGACTTCAGCCAGGTCACCATCTCGCGGTCTGTGAGTTCGAGCCCCGCGTCAGGCTCTGGGCTGATGGCTCAGAGCCTGGAGCCTGTTTCCGATTCTGTGTCTCCCTCTCTCTCTGCCCCTCCCCCGTTCATGCTCTGTCTCTCTCTGTCCCAAAAATAAATAAACGTTGAAAAAAAAATTAAAAATAAATAAACAGAAAAATATTAAAAAAAAAAGATGTTGTTGGATTTGGTTTGCTAATGTTTTGTTGAGGATTTTTTGCATCTCTATTCATGAGGGAAATTGGTCTGTAGTTTTCTTTCTTGTGATGTCTGACTTACTTTGATCTTAGGTAATGCTGGGTTAATAGAATGAGCTGGAAAGTGTTTCTACCTCCTCTAAAGTTAGGATTGGTATTATTTCCTCTTTAAATGTTTGGTAGAATTTACTAGGGAAACCATCTGGACTTGGGCCTTGTTTTTAGATTTTTTAAAATTATAAATTCAATATCTTCAGCTGTTATGAGTCTATTCAGATTTTGTTTGTTTTGGGGTTAGTTTTGATAATTTCAGTCTTTCTAGGAATTTGTTCATTTGATCTACATTGTCTAACTTGGCATACAATTGTTTGTAGTATTTATTACAATCCTTCTAGGTTGGCATTCCCTCTTTCATTGTTTATTTTTATAATTTGAGTCTTTTCTCCTTTTTGTCAATCTAGCCAAAGATTTATCAAGTTTGTTAATCTTTTCAAAGTACCAAATTTTGGTTTCATTGGTTCTCTCTATTGGTTTTTTAGTTTTATTGAAAAAAATTAACTTTACATGTATACATTATTTAAAGAATCTAATGTTCTACAAGACTTACTGCTATTAGGAAAAATGACAGTACTAATTTGCTTGATCACTGTCTTGATCCCTAGAAACAATCATTTTCAACTCTCCAAGATGATTTTTATTTAAAAAAATTATTAAAAAAATTTTTTTAATGTGACCCTCAGAATTTTTTTTTTTTTTTTAATTTTAGAGAGAGCAGGGGAGGGGCAGAGGGAGAAAGAGAGAGAATCTTAAGCAGGCTCCATACTCAGTGCAGAGCCTGACTCAGGGCTTGATCCCACGACTCTGGGATCATGACCTGAGCCTAAATCAAGAGTTGGACGCTCAGCCAACTGAGCCACCCAGGTGCCCCTTAAAAAAATTATTTTTAATTTTATTTAAAATTCTGTACTTTCTGTGTTGAAGTATAGTTGACACACAATATTACATTGATTTCAGTACAAGATAGTGATTCAACAAGTCTATATGTTATGCTATGCTCACTAAAAGTATAGCTGTAGCTACCATCTGTCACTATACTCTGGGCAGGGGCCAAGCTAATCTCTGTGTCATTCCAATTTTGGTGTATGTGCTGCCAAAGCAAGCACTGTCACCATACTCTGAGATGATTTTTAAAATCTGTATCTCTTAAAAATTTTTTGAAGTTTATTTATTTTGAGAAAAGGGGGGGGATGAGTGGGGGAGGAGTAGAGAGAGGGGAATGAGAATCCCAAGTGGGGTCTGTGCTGACAGCAGAGCGCCCGATGTGGGGCTCAAACTCATGAACTGTGACATCATGACCTGAGGCGAGGTTGGACGCTTAACCGACTGAGCCACCCAAGTACCCCTGTATCTCTTAAAATTTTTTTATATTGGTATTAGATTTTTCAGGTTTAGCCATTATCTGTTGACTACAGAAGATCATAATTTCATTTTCATTCATGCTTGCCTCCTTTTTCTGTCCCCTTTATATTTATTAATATTGCAATCTTGGTTAGTTTTCAATGATTATGGTATAATTTTGGAAACTTTCTGGTTGAGCCTCTGAGTATTTAGTTTTTTCTCTCTTGTACATTGTTTTTCTGGGATTTGATAATTGTTTCATTGATTGTTTAGTTTGCTTAATTTCTATGAATTTATCATGACTTCAACCTCATATTCCAACCAAGTTATAAGATAGTTGAAATATTCTGGTTTATTTTTAATTTTAATGCCAGCATACTTCACATACAGTGTTATGTTAGTTTCTTTTTTTTTTTTT